TTATATACTGTTACAAATGCTCCTCAAGAGAATGATTATTCGTGCAAAGCGTTTTCATATATAGCAACTTCAACATCTTTAACTATAACATTTTCATTTCAACACACTAATGGCGATCATTTTTTTGTGGACGATGTTTCAATAATGTCCGGTAGTACACAAATGATTGTTAATGGTGGCTTTGAAGGTTCAACGAGTGGAAGTGTTCCGTTCGGATGGACCTATACAAATCCTGGTTGTACGAACTCGGGTGTGGGCAAAGTAAAAAATGATAATTCTAAATCACATTCAGGATGTTGTTGTTGGCAAGATGATTGTCAAAGTGTCCGAGATTTTCTTCGACAAACAATTGTGACAGTACCAGGACAAGTTTATATAATTAGTTATTACATATATAATGATGACAACAGTGTACCGAATAGCGCAACAATTACAATTACTTGAAAATTGGAAAAAAGTATGGTTGTAATTTAGCCATTATCTAGTTTTATATAATCAAAACACCAAAAACTGACGATTGCTTTCGGATGAAATACAATATTCTTTCGAACATTTAGTATAACAAAAATAAAAACGTGATTTGATTTAAAGTTAGCATTATGTTTACATTTCGTCTTTTTATTCGTGATCTATATCGACAATTATTATTAGAGTATAAATGTTTTACAGAATCGATAATACAAGTCTATCAACGAGAAGCAATATCTGTTGACGAGCTTGAAATCAAGTCAAAGGCAAACTGTTCTATTGAACACTTTTCTTTCGACAAGCAAGAATCGAAAAATTGCCCTGACTTTTGTTAAGTCTATCTCTGTTAGTGATGAAACTAAATACTTGGTTCTGTTGAAATTTTATCTAATACGCGTTTAAGAGATCCAAAGCCGTTTATGGGACAGCGAATCAAATTTAACTGTTAGAGGAAATACTAGATACATCTAGAAAGGAATCGGATGTATCTAGCTGCATCGGCCGATACTAGATACATTTTTTCACGCTTGGATATCCACTTCCTCAGTTCGAAATTATTTTTTTAACTAGTTGAAATAAAACGTGATAAAAGAACGCGTGTGAGCGTACACGAAGGATAAAACTGGAATGTATCGTGTTTAGTTAACTCGAATCTCCTGATTTCGAATATACAGCCCATT